GGCGAGCGCGCTACCGCTTGAGCCACATCCCCAGCCCTTTTATTCTTATTTGAATTTTATTAATGAACATACTACTGTGTAATTTTCAAAGAAAACTTTATCTCCTTATTGTTGGACTTTTAAAATAATATTTTATCATAACGTTAGAAAACTTACAATTAATATCCATACATGAGGACAAAACTAGTTGATAAATGGGGAAGAACACTTTTACATAGTTTCTTTAAATCTAGCATTTCTAGCAGAAAACATTTCAAATACAAACAGTAGTGTTTCTTTTTTATAAAGATAATTTTCAAAAAAGTTATGTCAGTATTGACATTACCTATTTCTTATTTTAAATTTCCATAAGTTGGGAATTTTTAAATGGGTGTCTTAAAGTCTTTATCTAATTTGTAGTTTTACTTTTTGTCCAGGCCCATCAAACTCCAGTGAAGAAAGTGAATCCTGGAGAAGAAAGGAGGAAAATGTTTGAGGTATAAAGACATCTGTCTGCTTATTTTAAAGCTTTGCAAAAGTAATTACTAAAAACAGAAACAAAATCTTACAATATAAAACCTCCAAACCTTTCCTCCTTATTCTTTCAAACAAAAAAGCATTTTTTCCTAATTTCCTTGGGCTTACATCTGCCGTTGGCATACTGAYTTTCCTGAAGAAAATAGAAAAGTAGGAATTATTATCAGTAAAAATTATTATTATTATTATTTTAATTTAAGGAACAAGCAAGAAAGAGAAGATTGGACTTTATTGAAAAAGAGAAGAAGCAAAAGGATCAGGTAGGAACCTTTTTTCCTTATTTTTCTTCTTTTGCCAACTTGTAGGTGAGAATACTTTTGAGTTCTAAGAAGTATGTCTTTAAATTGTTACAGATTAGTTTAATGAAGGCTGAACAAATGAAAAGACAAGAAAAGGAAAGGGTAAGGGGATAATTCATTTTTTTCGTGGTACATTTCTTCCTCTCCCCCACATATATTTTTAAAGAAATGCACTGAGCATGTACATATATGTAATAACAAATCCTACCATCATGTATAATTACAATGTACCAATAAAAATATGAGAAAAATGCACTGATTTTAATTTTATTGCTAAATATATTTCAGGTATTTATGTTAAATACTTGAAATGGTGTTTTGTTTGTTTGTTTTTTTCCCCAAAAGTTGGAGAGAATAAATAGGGCCAGGGAACAAGGATGGAAAAATGTGCTAAGTGCTGGTGGAAGCAGTGAAGTAAAGGTAGGTATTTAATACCAACATAGTTATACTACTGTTATTATTTTTTCCAGTTTCATCTTTCTCTTTAAAATATATATTATTGGTTGCTCTTTTTTTTTCTGCACAGTTAATTTATCTAGAGGTCTCCAACATTTAATATTATTTCTTAGCTCTCCTGCATTTATTTGATATGAAACTGATGCTAACTAATATGCGACACTAAAAATTGCTTTTAGAAGTTTCATTTGAAGACTGTGATACTCTGTTCCTGTCAGAGGAATCACAAATACAAATSAAATGCAAAATGAAAGTTTGTCATTGATTTTTATGTATGTTAAGTTCTTGGAAGACTCTTCTTAAAAGTGGCCCCTGCCAGTTTCCAAATTCATCTCCATCTGTAATCTCTTCCATTTACTTAATGCTATATTATGTGAAGCTTCTTTGTATGCGYCTGCTGAATCTCTTTGTCTTTGCCCTTGTGTTTCTCTCTCCCTCTGCCCCTCCCCCCTTTCTCTCTTTGAGATAGGGCCTCACTAAGTTGTTTAGGCTGGCCTTGAACTTGTGATCCTCCTGCTTCAGCCTGTCTTGTTGCTAGGATTAAAGGTGTGTACCACCATGCCCAGCTTGTGTTTCTCTTTACTAGATGACATCCTCCTTTCTTCCTCAAGTTCATCCCTGCCCTATTTATTACYTAGGCAACCAGAAACTTGGTTTGTTCAAACATTTCCTTTGGGTAAATACAGACCGTATAACATTGGGCAAGCTACTTAACTTTTCTGAGCTTCAGTTTCTTAGCTATCTCCCACCCTTTACCCCTACCCCCAGAGCTTGGCTAGCAAGGGCTCAGACAATAATTTACTCCTCCTCTCTTTGTTCTGTCAGTCTGTACTTCCTCTTTTGCTCACAGAACATCCCATCTCATCTATCTATGTATCTGTGATAGTCCAAACTCTAAGATGATTGCCAGGATGCCAAACCCATAGTGTATATACCTTGTAGTCCCTCTCTTTGAATTATGAGTGTAATCTGTAGCAGCTCCTTTGATTAGCAGGAAATGTTTGTGGAATAGTTGACCCCATTATTCTATTAATGTGTAAGACTCCCTAACAGCAGACCAGGAAGGAGAAGTCTGGAGAGATACTTTTGTTAGCTTAGACGGGAGCAAATATTGATATGGCAAGAAAGTATAGGTGGCCTCTAAATGCTGTATGTGGTCTCTGACTGATAACTACGTAGAAAATGATATCCTTAGTCATAGGGCCACAAAGAAATGAATCTGAAAAGAACCAGTAAGCTTGGAAAAGATCTGAGTCTCAAATGGAAATTATAACTCTGGCTGACATTTTGATTTCTGCCTGGTGAGATTCTGAGCTGGTTACCCAGCTAAATGTATCTGTACTCCTGTGCCAGGGAAAATGTGAGATAATAAATGAATATTGTTTGAGCTGGTAAGTTTGTTGTTACACAGCAATAGAAAGTGAATGCACTATTATTCCTCTGTATTATTTTAATTTCTATCATTGAATCAACATGTCTTTAAACTGTAAAGTCACCTGAACCATGCCCATTAACCTTGATATTTAGGTATACAGTAGATATTTGTCAAGTTGAATTGACTAGCATTCTTGTTTCTTTCCCCCCAAAGTTCTGATTTTTAAAAAAAATATATTTTTAGTTGTAGATGGGCACAATACCTTTATTTTATTTATTTATTTTTATGTGATGCTGAGGATCGAACCCAGTGCCTTATACATACAAGGCAAGCACTCTGCTACTGAGCTACAACCCCAGCCCAAAAGTTATGATTTAAATAAAAGTTTGTTTGTTTTATCCACACATATGGTACTGAATTAGTCTGTTGAGATGCAGTTTTTCATATAACATAACGAAATTTCAGTAATAGTCATCTGTTCCAGTTCTGTTTTTTTTTTAGAATTTTAATATTTATTTTTTAGTTTTCGGTGGACCCAACATCTTTGTTTGTATGTGGTGCTGAGGATCGAACCCGGGCCGCACGCATCACACRCATGCCAGGCGAGCGCGCTACCGCTTGAGCCACATCCTCAACCCCTCCAGTTCTGTTTTAATGTAGATTTATATAGTGTTTTTAGTAAGTTCAGTGTTGCCTAATTAAATAGAATTTACTGCTTTGAATGATAGGAAATGATTCGTACAAAATTTGGGTTATTCTAAAATCAGTTCATCCTTTGTCTTACCTAATTGGGAAGTGAAAACTATAGTTAAGGACTTTGTGTCATGTCCATGATAAATGGTGTGATGTTTGTGATTTTTCTCCTCCTCATATATCTCTTTTGTAATTAAGTGTTTTTTCCTCTGTTTTGTCTAAAGCTATATTTAATCCTAAAAGTTCAGATTTATCAATCTTGTTTAGTTTTTCAAAAGACATTTTGTGTATAATAGATTTTTGCTTCACTTAATATACTTCTATAATGCTSTCGTTGATAATAAAGCAGTTTATTTTCCATGATTTAAACAAATTCTGTTAGTTTATGTACTTATTCCTTAGTTTGAAATATTTTTCTTGTTAAGCTGTTTGATTTCTACATGATTGCTAGAACCTAGAGGCTCAGTATAATGAGAATCAAATTAAGGAATTCCTCAAATAAAGATAAAATTAAAAGTAAACATTAAGGGAAATATTTCAAGATCAATATGATTATTATACACTTTTGGTGTGAGGGGGATACTAGGATTTGAATCCAAGGGAATTCTACCACTGAGCTACATCCCCAGCACCCCCTGACCTTTTAATATTTTTTTTAGCTGTAGTTGGACACAATATTTTTATTTATTTATTGTTTTGCAGTGCTGAGGATCAAAAGCAGTGCCTCACTCATGTGAGCAAGTGCTCTATCACTGAGCTACAATGCCATACCTTTTTATTTTTCATTTTGAGACAGGGTCCTACTAAGTTGCCTCACCTGGTCTTGAATTTGGAGTCTTTCTGCCTCAGCTTCCCATGTAGCTGAAATTACAGACAGGTGCCACTACAATAAGCCAGTTATTACACACTTCTAAATAAGCATTGATATTCAAGTGCAAACATTTGACTGACTTTATTTGGTATTTACAATATCTAGTACTTCTTTGTACTCTCTGCTTTTAGTGTTTTTCTTATGAATGTGTTTTTAGAAAAATTGTGATATAATCCACATGTATATTTTTATTTATCTGGTGATCAGAGTATGTATGAGGTTTATGTAAGAGATTTAAGATATATCACCAGGCATGGAGGCACATTCCTATAATCCCAGCTGCTTGGGAGGCTGAGATAGGAGGATGGCAAGTTTAAAGCCAGCCTCAGCAAAAGTGATGGGCTAAGCAACTCAGTGAGACCCTGTCTCTAAATAAAATACAAAATGAGGCTGGGGATGTGGCTCAGTGTTGAGGTGTCCCTGAGTTCAATCCCGTGTGCCAAAAACAAAACAAAACAAAACAAAACATAACATACACACACAATTATACTATTCAGCATTAAAAAAAAGAATACTGTGTTTATATATGCAACAACATGGATCCATCTCGAAAATGAGTTAAGGAAGCCAGACAAAAGAATATATATTGTATGATTATGTTTATATGAAGTTATAGAAAAGGCAAGTCCAATCCATAGTGTCACAAAGTGGGACATTGGTTTCTGGCAGTAAGAGATCATTGACTACAAAGGAATATGAGGAACTTTCTGGGATAATTGTCACTATGGCAGTGGTTACATGCATGTTTCTGTTTATCAAAATTCTTCAATCTGTGCTTAAACTTGGTGAATTTTATTGTGTATAAGTCATGCCTTACTAAAACTTATTTTTAAAAGATCATATTGCTTTAGTATTTTAGTACAATATTTTCAGTTTTATTTTGAGTAAAAGTCTTTGAGAGATATTTACCTGCTTTTGCTAATGAGGCACAGTAGAACACTCAAAGCCAGAATATTAGTAGAGAACTGTAAGTGTAGTCAGTTCCACAAAAAATGTGACCACCTTTTTACAGAGTCATTCTTCTGATTCTTGACTTGAAATATATATTTTGAGAATGTACATGAGGAGGACCTCCTTGATGGAGTTTCCAGCCTAATCATTTATCTTTCCTGGTTCTAGCAGCTTCCATTCTTGTTATTTGAACATCTTTAATTAATTATCTCTGCATCCCTTAAAATTATTTTTAAAAATTCATGTTTTCTCATAAAATTGTGTGCTTACTGTGCTAAGGTGTTAAAACAAATTTCCTCTTACTGGGTTACACTAAAGTTTCTTTTATTTGATTCTAATAYTGTTCTTTGTATTTTTTCTTACTCAGACTTCTTAAATAAAATGTTATTACCAGGAAAAGCATTTCCTCAATTCTCCGTATTCTAGCTTCTTTTCTCACCATCCCTTCTCCTCCCTCCCTTCCTCCCCCACCCCACACACAGTGGTTTTTTTTTAAAAGGCTATCACTCAACCTTAGAACTATCTTATTTGCAGTGCTTTTGACCTCTGCATTTCAGATCATTGATTTCTTCTTTTCAATGAAATTCTTTCACTGTAACTTCTATAGCATCATACTCTTTATTTACTTTTAACTCTTAACCATTTCTAATGTCTCTATTTTCTGACTATGGGGTTTCCATGTGGTTGAATTTTTGTTTCTCTGTGGCTGTGTCCTTATATCTTTACCTTTATCCTTTGTTGTTCTCGCAGAGAATTCACAAGTCCATTCAGCATTTACTTTTTTTCATTGATTCTCTTTTTTACCTCTGGTCTTCTTGGCTTGGTGTCAGTGCAACAGCCCTTTAGTTTTTCTACCTTGGTATATTGCTTATTTCTGCTTATAATGCATAATATATTTTTTTTTATTGTTGGTCRTTCAAAACATTACATAGTTCTTAATACATCATATTTCACAGTTTGATTCAAGTGGGTTATGAACTCCCAATTTTACCCCGTATACAGATTGCTGTATCACATCAGTTACCCTTCCATTGATTGACAAATTGCCTTTCTAGTGTCTGATGCATTCTGCTGTCTGTCCTATTCTCTACTATCCCCCCTCCCCCCCCCCCCCCCCCCCCCCCCCCTTTTCTCTCTACCCCTTCTACTGTAAATCATTTCTTCGATTTGTATTATCTTGTCTTACCCCTCCTTTCCTCTTATATGTCATAATGCATAATATTGACTTAAGCTTTTTAGAAGATGTTTTAGAGTATACTACTATTGCTAGTAAGTTTGGAAATGATATTTGTTTTTCTTTTTTAATTTTCCTTTTTTTTGTAGTTATAGATGGACAGATGCCTTTACTTTATTTATTTTTACATAGTGCTAAGGATTGAACCCAGTGGCCCACACAGGCTAGACAAGTTCTCTGTGACTGAGCTCAGCTCCAGCCCAGTTGTGTTTTATATATGAATGCATATACCCAGGGCCAATAGCACCTAGTCTCTACCAACCAAGCTTTTGTAGTCAAGCTTAGTGTTCCTTGTCTTCCTTCTGATTATGTTTGTCACCATACTTCCTTCTTCCCTCTATTTCTGGCATCCAGATATACACATCTATTGCTTATTTTTGCTATATTACCTAGCTTCATATCTAATATCTCTCTCTGTTATCACAAGGCCAAGTTAAATAATATCTTTCTTCAAGACTTTTTTTTTCTCTTAAATAGGGATTTTGCTTTTCATCTTTTTTTTTTTTTTCATTTTATGAATTTGCTTAGTATATACTACTTTGGAATGTCTCTATAATCATTCATTTACCAAAAGATTAAAATGTTTTTCCCATTTTGTGTTTTCTTTCCCAACTTGTTTGAAAACTATTTACCGATAGATATGAAGTTTTGGCTCTTTTATCTATACACAGAATATGTTTCAGTAGTGTTTATACCTTCACATTAACTTGGTGAATAAGTTTGAAGCATAGTAAAAGTCATATGCAAATATTTTTGTCAAACGTCATTTTAAGTGTTATATAAGCATGCTCTGCTTTGCATATAATGGCTTTACATATTTAAACTTAATAGAACAGAATTACATGAAGTATATAATCTATATTTGTTTCAAAACTTAGTAAGACCAAATTTTTTCACATTTAAAAGAATGTAGTAACACTTTAATGTTTTTGTTTGTCACATTAATTTATGCTTCATTGTTAACAAAAATTCTACTTTTCTTTTTTTAAATTTTAAAAATTTGTTCTAATTAGTTATACATGTCAGTGGAATGCATTTTGACACATTATACACAAATAGAGCACTACTTCTCCTTTCTCTGGCTGTAAATGGTACAGAGTCACACCAGTAGAAAATTCTACTTTTCTATTGTTAATTATTATAGCATAATAAGAAAACATCTTGCTTTTTGGTCATGTTAATTAATTTGCTCAAATTTTAGGTAATTGCTTTTTTAAAGTTAAGCCTTGAAATTTAGTTTTTATTTTGAGAATKGTATAGGCCTTTTGGGCCTTGTAAGATAAATTGTAAGAGCTCTTTGTTTAATCCCTAGGCTTCCTTTTTTGGCAGTGGAGGGGCTGTAGCTCCATCATCTTCTCGAGGACAGTATGAACATTACCATGCCATTTTTGATCAAATGCAGCAACAAAGAGCAGAAGATAATGAAGTGAAATGGAAAGGAGAAATACGTAGTCGTCCAGAAAGGTATGACTATGTTCGGCAGAAATTTCTTATGCTTTACTTCAGAGAAAGCAATGAAAGTCACTGTGCATATCTATCTACAGAGGAATTCCACCTGGAGTTCGTCCAGGATTTCCTAAAGGGGCTGCAGGTCATCACCATTTCCCTGATGCTGATGCTATTAGAAAAACTTTGAAAAGATTGAAGGCCSTGTCTAAACAAGCCAATGCAAACAGGTTGGACTGTGGTGATCCATGAATTCATCCTTGTGTGTAATTTTGTCTTTTGTCACATATAACTTATTACTCTCACTTGTAGATGTGTTCTCCATTGTTTACATGGAATAATTTTTGCTTCCTGGATGCAGTAATTTTCTTAGGTATAAAATTGGTCCATGATTATATTATGACAAACATTTAGCTCTTCAAATCAGCCTGATTTTTATGGCTTATTTATATGTTTATACTGCACATACTATTAAAGGAACATGTTATAACTTTCAGCCAACATATGGTTATAATAATTTCATCCACTTGGTTTAAGTAAATCAGAATATAAATTTAAATGTAATCACATTTTATGCAAAACTCATTTTTTTTTTGTCTTTTGCACATCATGGAGAAGTAAGCTTTCTCTTTGTTATCTTAACATATTCTTCTTCATCCATCTCTGATATGTGATCCTTTTCACCAGATTTTTCCTATCATTCTATTGAGTTAATTAAATAATGGTAACTAACATAGCTGTAATCCACACAGTTTTTTTTTTTTTTTTGTTAAGTATACTTGCATGTGTGTTTTCTAAGGTAGTCCCATTTCATTTAAAAGCATTGTGATGAGTTGTGAAAGAACAGGTAATGTTTTGTGAAATTTTAATTACATCATCTTTTCCTTGTTTCTTACGGTGCTATAAAAATCTTTATGGTCCTCTTATTATAAAGTGTACTTGAGCACATTTAAAAACTAAATGAAAAAGAAAAAAAAAMCAATGTATTTGAATATAATAAATAATTGAGTTAAGTGTAAAATTACATTATGAATACATTACATATTATATACAGAAACCTAAATTGTGAAACTGATTAAAAGATTTTTTGCATTACAAAGGAAGGCTACAGACTCACAAATGTGCTTATTTTTGCTGAATGGTGAAGCAAATTTTTTGTGAGGTTTTTATCTTCCTGTAGGGTTGATCTTTCTATTACATATACATTCTTAATTAGTAAACTTTATTTTTAGAGCACTTTTAGGTTTTCAGCAAATTGAGTGGAAAATATAGAGTTCCCGTCCACACCTTCTCTACATATGTACAACTTCCCTGTCAGCATCCTAGCCAGAGTGAACAACATTTCTTACCATCAATAAGCTCACATTGACCCATTACCACCAAAGTTCAGTGTTTCTGTTAGGGCTCACTCTTGTGTTGAACTGTAGGTTTTGACAGAAGTATAATTCCATGTGTTCACCCTTGTGGTATTATATTTAAAAATGTCACTATGCTCAAAATCCTCTGTGCTCTACCTATTTTTACCTCCCTCCCTCCCTTCTAACCTCTGGCAATCTTGTAATTATTTTGCTGTCCCTATAATTTTTCTTTTTCTAGAATGTTATTTAGTTGGAATCATACAGTATGCAACTTTTTCAGATTGGCTGCTCTCATTTAGTAATACTTATTTAAGGTACCTCCATATCTTTTCCTGATGATACATAGTTCGTTTCTTACTAGCACTGAACGATACTACATTGTATGGATGAATAGTTTATTCATTATCCTGCTGAAGAATATCTTCGTTGCTTACAAGTTATTACAATTATGAATAAACCTGTTACAAATATCTATATGCAAGTTTTTGTGTGGACATAAGTTCTCAAATCATGAAAGATCAGATTGTTAGATCCTATGTTAAGAGTACATTTAGTTTTTTTTAATATTTATTTTTTAGGTGTAGATGGACACAACACAATGCCTTTATTTTTTTGTGGTGCTGAAGATCGAACCCGGGTCCCACCCGTGCTAGGYGAGCGCTCTACCGCTGAGCCACAATCCCAGCCCCTGTACCTTTAGTTTTATAAGAAACAACCAAAGTGTCTGTCCCATTTTGCTTTCACACCAACAATGAACAGTGTTGTCCCTGTTTTGGATTTTGGCCATTTTAATTGGTGTGTTTTGCTATCAGTGTTGTTTAATTATAATTCCCAAATGACATATGATGTTGAACATCTTTTCACATACTTCTTGCTATCCGTATATCTTTTTTAGTTCGTTTTCTGTTAAGGTATTTTGTCCATTTTTTAATTGGGTTGTTGATTTTCTTGTTGAATTTTAAGAGTTCTTTGCGAGTTTTGGATAACAGTTCTTTATCAAATCGCTTTCTCCTCCTTGTGCAGTGCTGGGGATCCAACTCAGGGCCTTGGTCATACTAGGCAAGCACTCTACCACTGAGATACATCCCCACCCCAGATAATGTCTCTTGCAGATATTTTCTTTCAGTCTGTGGCTTGTGTTCTTATTCCTTGATATTATCTTTCACAGAGCAGACATTTGTAATTTTAATGAAATTCCTCTTACCATTKTTTTGGGGGTGATGCCTTTGGCCTTGTATTTAAGAAGTTACCACCATAGCCAAGTTCATCTAGGTTTTTTCCTGTGTTATCTTCTAGGAATTTTTATACTTCTGTCTTTTACATTTAAGTCTATAATTAATTTTGAAATTTTTTACGCAGTACCTTTATTTACTTATTTATTTATTTATYCACTTATTCATTTATTTATTTATTTTTATGTGGTGCTGAGGATCGAACCCACTACCTCATATGTGTGAAGCAAGCGCTCTGCCACTGAGCCATAATCCCAGCCCCTTGAATTAATTTTTGAAAGATCTAAGGCCTGTGTCTAGATTCATTTTTTTTTTTTTTTGCATGGGGACATTCATTTGGTCCATAGCATTTTTTGAAGAGACTATTTATGCTCCCTTGAATTGACTGTGCTCCCTTGTCAAAGATCAGTTGACTCTGTTTATATGGAATTATTTGAGTTCTCTTCTCTGTCCCCTGATATATTGTTGTTAATTTTTCACCAATACCACTCTGTATTGATTATAGTAGTGTGTTAGTCCACTTTTCCTTGCTGTGATCAAAATAGCCAATGAGAACAACTTGGGGAAAAAAAAGTTTATTTTGGCTCATTGTTTCAGAMGTTCAGTCCATGGTCAGCTGACTCCATTCTTCTTGATAGGGGAAGTAGGAAGGAGCCTGTAGGGGAAAAAAAATCCTTCCAGGTCATGCCTTTAGGACCTACCTCCTCCACCTATGCTATACCTACCTACAGTTACCACCCAGTTATTCCATCCAAACTAGGATGGACTGATAAGGTTACAGTTCTCATAGTCTAATCATTTTACCTCTGAATATTCCTGGATTGACACAGGAGCTTTTGGGGGCACCTCATATCCAAATCATAACAAGTAGCTTTATAGTAAGTCTTAAAGTCAGATAGTTTTAATCCTCCAACTTTTTTTTTTCCTCTTTCAATATTGATTTGGCTATTCTAGTTTTTTCTCTATATATAAACTTTAGATTAGTTTGTCAATATCTACAAAATAACTTGCTGTGTTTTTTATTTAGGTTGTGTTGAATCTATGGATCAATTTGGGAAGAATTTACATTTTGACAATATTGAGTCTTTCTGTTCTTCTGTTGTACCTGTATTATCTCTCTATTTAATTCTTTGAATTCATTAGACTGTTTCAGTTTTCCTCATTTTCCTGTATGTATTTTTTTCAGACTTATAAAATACATATTAATTTTGGGGGTTGCTGGTGTAAATGGCAATATATTTTTAATTTCAGATTCCACTTGTTCATTGCTGATTTGTAGGAAAACAGTTAACTTTTGCATATTAATGTTGTATCCTGGAACCTTGCTACAATTACTTATTAATTTCAGGGGGCACTTTTTGTCAGTTCTTTTGGATTTTCCAGAGTTATGCCATCTGTAAACAAAACCAGTTTTATTTTATTTTAAAATAATAACAAAACCAGTTTTATTTCTTCCTTTCCAATCTCTCATCTTTGTCTTACTCCTGACCTTAACAGGAAAGCTTCATGTTTCTCACCATTAAGTATGATGTTATATTTTGATTTTTTATGAAGTTGTAGGAAAAAAATGCATTTTTTTTGTTAAATGCGAATGGGATTTTGTAAAATTTTTTGCATCTATTGATATGCTCATATGATTTTTCTTTAGTTTGTCAATATGATGGATTTTATGTATTGAACTATTCTTGCACATCTGGTTTTACTAGGTCTTGGTGCTGCTATATGTTGTTATACTTGTTGTATTTGACTTGTTAATGTTTTATGAAGGATTTTCATATTTATATTCATAAAAGATATTGGCATGTAATTTTCTTCTTATGTCTTCAAAAGTTTTGGYAGTAGACTAATACCTCATGGAATGAGTTAGGAAGTATTTCATCTACTTTTGTCTTCTGAAAGAGTTATGAAATATTGGTATAATTTCTTAAAAATTTGATAAAATTTAGCATTGTACCATTTGGACTGGTATATTTTAGAAAATTATTAATAATTGAATCAGTTTCTTTAATGGATATGGGCCTATTTAGGTTGTCTGTTTCTTATTGAACAGATTGTTTTTTGCAAATCCGTTCTTCATGGAACTGGTCTGTTTCATCTACATTAATCAAATTTGGGTTCATAGTTCATAATATTTATTATTCTTTTAGTGTGTATGAAACTGTAATGATGTCACTTTTTCATTTAGATATTAATAATTTATGTCCTTTTTTTATTCTTAGCCCTACTAGAGACTTATTTATTTGATTGATTTTTAAAATAACTAACTTTTGGTTTTATTGAGTTTTKTTTTCTGTTGACTTCCTATTTCCAATTTTATTGATTTGCTCTGATTTTTATTATTTCTTTTTCTCTACTTACTCTGGGTATAATTTGCTCTTTTCTTTCTGATTTTCTAAAGTGGAAGGTAACAAAATTGATTTTAAATCTTTCTTCTTCTTTTTTAACCTAGCTAGATTATTTTTTTTTAATTAGTTACACATGATAGTACAATGATCTTGACATACCATACATTTGAATCAGATGGGGTATAATTTCTCATTTTTCTGAGTGTACAGGTTGCAGAATCACATTGGTCATACAGTCACATATATACATACAGCAATAATAAAGTCTATTTTATTCTGCTGTCCTTCCTTCCCC